AGATGCTAACCCTCCTGATTAAAAATCCTAGCAAAATCATTTTGTATATTGTCAAACAAAAACAAAAAAGTTAGAACTCTACTTTTGCAGCAGTGTACCCTAATCCATTTTCTATTTAAATCGCAAATATTTTGCAAAATAAGAAAACGACGTCAGTATGGGATACTAATTCAGACTGACTTAGAGGCGCGCATATAACATAAATCTTGTTTGGAAAGGAAGTCTATCGTTTTGCTTTTTCTCTAGCGAAATACGGCAACACGGTCACCCATTCAGCTATTGGTCAGACCCAGGAGTACGTAACCTAACCGAGTAACTGTCTTTATAGGCAGTCTCATTTTTTCCCTACCAATTTGCGAAAGACCCTTTGAAAGAATAAACCGTAATAATGGTAGAATTACCGGCAGTATGTTAGGTAAAAGGACACAAGTGCAACTAAGAAGAAAACTATAGTCGGATTATTAACGTAGAGGGTTATTAACCCAGGATAATACACTAGTCTACCTTGTAAATCTTCAATGGGGGTTCTTTGATCTTCATCAGGATGAGACCCATTACCGACTGCTAGCACTCAGATAAATAGATAAGTTTATTCAGGTACGATTACACAATCTTTGGGAAATTACATCTGTTTTACATAATAACCCATGCGTAAATTACCGAGGATAACCTAAAAGAAAGTTACTTGTTTCCACTACTGGGTCTTTGTAATGTCTAACTATTAAATATAGTAAAAAATCAGTCTGGTCAAAGACATCTAAAGCAAAATAAACTGAGTAAATCATTTAAAAGACAAAAATTCATGAGAATTAAAAAAAATGTTGAATTTAAAATTTTATGTACTGATAGCTGCCTCAGCTAACAGACCGAGGAACCGGATGAAACGATGTGCATGTTTCCTTACACCTGCTGCACCTGTTCATCTAGCAGTAAGTACTGTATGTACCTAGGTGTTAGCCGACTGTTCTGGGTCACATCCTGGGGGAGGAGAATATTAAAGGACCGCGATGGAAATAAACACAGTCTTCAATGACACACTGACACTTTTGGGTTATTCTGGGTGGCTAATCCTCAAGGTTAAAAATCCCAACAAAATCTTATCTTAAGAAATTCTGTAGCTTCATAGCTTTTGATACTTCACTGAAACTACGGAGAGGAGAGTGATTTCTTGTATAGGTTTAAGGAAATGTGCCTAACTTTTCCACTTGTGATGGGTTCATCTCCTAATAGGCAGCGATCTTCTTTTTTAAATGGAGGTTTAAAACTCTAGCTCAGGTAAGCCAGCGGATGTTTAACCAGTTACAGGTCATCATTTGACAAAGACTAGTGTCAGGAAACACTAGTGTTTCCTGACACTGATCATTCGTCAGGAAAACACTAGTGTTTCCTTGACGAATGAACCATCACTACCCCTTTGTGTTTACGGGAGTTGATTCATGCATCTCCTCACTCAGCCTCTTTACTCCTATCCACCGGTAGTACCTGTTACTGGCTTCTTGAGCTCGACTGTACCCTCTGAAGCGCTTCATTTTAGGGTATAGACTCCTAGTCTAATGGCAATTGCACTGCCCAGCGTGGCATATACTAGCTTCACCCTCTGGTTAATGTGCATAAAAAGCCACTTTGCGCCCCCAAAGTTACAAACGCTTGTTTTATTTTTATTTAAACTTTCCTCACTACTAGTTGGATATGCTGAATGTTGAAGACAGAGTAAAACAACTGAAGCTAAATCATGTTTATAAAATTGCTCACGAACAGTGTCCAGAATATCTTGCTGTCAATTTTGTCAAGGTTGGGAACCAAAGCAATCATAGTACTAGGGGGAGAGAGCACAACTTTGTAGTACCCACAGTCAGTGGCCAGGCGTCAAACACCTTTTATTGTACAGCAATAAAGGAATGGAACAGACTACCCGCACATGCCAAAGCCAGTCATAGCATGAACCAGTTCAAGAAGACTGCCAAAAAGTGTCTGATGAATGAAGCTACAGAAAGGGAGGGGAATGATTTTCTATTTTTTAGCTAAAATACGTGTAAATTTTACCTTATCCCTAGTAATGACCCTCGTATTGTAGATAGTCTTAATGACCCTCGTGTAGTAGATAGTCTTTTTAGTATGATAATAAGATGTTATCTTCATTGTAGAATAATAAGAAAATATTATAACCTTTATATTATAATAATAAGGTAAAAGGACCCCAATGGAAATAAGTCACTCTGCCTGACTTTTTTGGGTTATCCTAGGTTCTCTACACATATGCTGCTATGTATGATAATTCTATATAACTGTATTTGTGTATACCTGAATAAATTTACTTACTTACTTATTTACTAAGTGAACCAGAACCTGTTGCCAGTGTTACTCTTCATACCATAGCAATGACATGGTTATAGTGTTGTCGTAGTATTTCTATACCTACCATAAAACTAAGTGTTATCATCATATTATTCTACCTACCGTAACTGTTATCATAATATTACTCTACCTATCATAACTAACTGCTATCATAGTATTACTTTACCTATCATAAGTAATTGTTGTCATACTGTTACTCTACTTATTTGAATAACAAACTTGTCATAATATTACTCTATTTACCATGACTAACTGTTGTCATAGTATTACCATAACGCAATAACTAAGATAGTACTTCTCTGATGTGGTAGAAAATTATATAGTTACTTAGGTTATTAAATGGAATGTATTAGACTTAAGATGCAGAGCGAAATCATATTTGGGAAGTGACAGTCGTAGGAAAATGCGAGGCGAGGGTAGACGGGAGAGTCAAAGCCTGGCTGCAGAGTTAACACCCAGTAAAGCCCAGCCATTCCGAGCAAGCTAGAGTCCTGAATGTGTTGAGCGTTGGATTTGTTATAAAAGGCATGCCCTCTAGGAAAAAGTTAAAATGTATTTTCATGAGACAGTCTGTTGTGTTGAAACCTGCACTAGTGAACGGTGGTCAGCTTCATGGGATGCAAACCATAACACGGGCGGGGATAGAGAGTCTCAAAACTCCAGACCGTCGCGTTAGCCACTAGACCAGCTAGCCACAATAAGATTCGTCCAACTAGGTATATTTCTACACCATAGGAAGGTTAGCATAGGCACCACTGTGACCACAAATGCAAGTTTTTACATTATTATAATTATTATAATTATGGGGGAGAACTAAACCCGTAGGATTATACAGAGCATGTGGGGGGGGGATGGAAGGTATTCAGGCTCAATTCAGGGAACTGGAGCACAGATCCAATTCCCTAGATCAAGAGCCCCTCACCACCGTCAAGGAAACTCCCTTGAGGGGGAAAGTTTTTGCAGACGAATCTCCAGCTAGCGTGGCCGTGACGAACTCTAGCTCAAGTCCCCTCAAAGCCGTTAACATGACTCACGAAATCGTAATGACACGATTGCAAACAAACCATACAACGGGCGGGGATAGAACCCGCGATCAGAGAGTCTATGGTGTAGAAATATACCTGGTTGGACGTATCTTATTGTGGCTAGCTGGTCCAGTGGCTAACGCGACGGTCTGTAGTTTTGAGACTCTCTGATCGCGGGTTCTATTCCCGCCCGTGGTATGGTTTGTTTGCAATCGTGTCATTACGATTTCGTGGTTCATGGGATGCCTTTAGGCCCTTCATGAAATGAGGAATATTGTGTGTATTGTTGGTTATAATACTCTGTTTTTCTGGGTTGATATGATTTAATTAAATGTTGATTAGGACCTATCGGATATTAAAATTAACCTTAAATGCTTATGAATTATTTTGAATTCGGTTTCTCATTTATTTTAATTAAGAGTAAGATCATTTTTAAATCGTTTGTTTAAAATAATTTTTAAACCTTTTATATTTAATTCTTCAGTATTAACATTTATGCTTTGTGAAGGTAAAATCTGTTTACACACACACACACACACACACACACACACACACACACACACACGCGCGCGCGCACACACACACACACACACACACACACACACACACACACACACACACACACACACACACACACACACACACACGCACACGCACACGCACACACAAACTACAAACAGCGGGCCAGATGTCTATCGACAAGTGACTATGACAACTGGTAACTAACACACACACTCACATTTTAGACTGGTTTAAACTACAGTCACATTGTACCGCCTTCATGGGAGGTGCCTTGATGTTGGTGTAGAATTTTTGATCGAAGGAAGTTATCTACCATTTCCTTGGATCAAGCCTATTGTCATCTGTTTCCAGGATGCAGTAGGACCACTAATAATGATAATAATAACATACATTAATTATATCGTTATTTTTAAAGGGGTGGACCGGTAAGCCAGCGGAAGGCCTCGGTCAGATGACCAAAGCTCCAAAGGCGGGTTATCATCTGACTTAGACCCGCGTCAGGAAACATTTGTCCTGTTTCCTGACGAACCTTACCTAGTCTAACCTAACATACATTGTAGAGCAGAGGAACATACTTATGCATGTATAAATTTGAATGATTCCCTAATATTTACTTTGTGAAATTCACTTTCATTACACGACCATACCTTGCATATTACTACCTTACCTGCCAAGAAATACACATCTGGAGAATGTGGATAACATTTTCGCGGTGCCCATAAATTCAAACACCTAAATTGTTGGGAATGGCTGAACCCGAACAAAATTTACTCCCTGGAATGAAGGCTAGAAAGATGTACGATAATTTACACCTGAAAGACACTGAAAGGACTAATTCCAAATCTGCACACTGGAATAATCTCTTGTAAGAGCGGCAAGTACGACAGTAAAAAATATCCTATTGAAATACAATGGTGCAGTAAGTATTACAGAGAAGCCTAAGTAATCCTGAAGTGTAGTAGTACTAGCAGAGAAGTTGTCCCTTGGTTATATTAAAATAATATGGTAGTCTTTGCACTCTGGCGATGAGAACTGTTTATGTACCTGAAGTGTTTGTGGATGATTCACAACAGTTACAGAGAAATATGAACAAGCAGCGTTTAATGTACATTTTATTTTATAAGACTTATACAAAAATTCACACTTCACAGCGATTACACGAGTGGAGGTGGGAGACTATGGAGAGACTACCTGCAAAGGTCTCTCACCACCTCCATTCCCACAACCACTTGCCTTCTTGTCATTCTTTCTGCACTCAGTTTCGACAGTTAGGATTTGACGACACCGTAGGTGATAGCGGGAGCAGCACCGTAAGCCACAGCAGTGTGGGCGAAAGCAGGTGCAGTAGCTATGTGATGCACGGGGTGAGCAATAGGTAGGGCATAGGGCTGGGGAACAACGTAGGGATGAGGCACAGCATAGGGCTCAGCCACGTACTTGTGGTGGATCGGAGTAATTTCCTGGGTTTTGTAGACAGCCTTGGGCACGGGGACGTCGAAGGACTTGTCAGTGATCTTGAGTTGGGGACGAACCTCAGTGATCTGGGGAGTGAAAGAGAAGACTGGACGACCGATCGCTTGAACAGGGATGTGCTGAACCACTTGATCAGAGGCAGGTGCTTCGCCAGCCGGCACGGGTGATGGGATGTTGAGGTTAAGGTTGGAGTAGAGCACAGGTGAGGGGACGTGATGCAGCGTGACTGCCCCCATGACGGTGGCTACCATGAATGGTAACAGGATCTAGGGTAGAGAGAACAATAACAAACATTAATATGTGGAGAGAGAGAGCTTGCTCGGGCCTCAGACTAGTGACCTTACAGGTTTGAAGCGTACATACTGAAACTCATACAATTCTTTCTTAGTGTTACCCTAATAATAATGTGAAGTTACAGTTTACGCTAGTAGCAAAATTATATAACAAGAGTTTCGCTGAAAAAATCAGTTGACAACTAGCACAGAAGTTGTAAAAAAAATATGGACAACATTTTGGTTCATCCTGGACCATTGACAAGTCGTGGCTGGATAATGGTCCTGGACGAACTAAAAGTCGTTCAATTTTCGCTTGTAATTTGTACGTTTGTCGTAATTGTTTCAGTCATAATATCGTGACTTAATCTGTAGATATTACGTCACTAATGAAAATTTCTCCAAGAATGCACAAAGTGGGAAGTGTACGTACTGTAGACTGCATGGTGGCGGGCGTGCGAGTGTGTTCTACGAGGGTGAGCCCCTTTCTTATATACCCATGGACCTTGAACCACGCCCACGTCCTTCTCAACAACACCAAATAGGACAACACCCTTGCTCCACGCCCCCATAGTTTTACTTCCTATCTTTTTCAGTGTCGTTAGTTTTGTTTCTGACGAAAGTGTATCTCAGTGTGTAACATAAATTATCGCTTATCCTTTGTCTGCTAGAATCCAAAGCTAGTATGGAACTTGTGTTGCAACTCGTGGAGCGCGCTCAGTCCTTTACCTGTAGGACACTCAAGTCTTCCAGGACTTACAAAAAAAAAAAAAGTTTTTTCCTCCTACTACTAAATTTAGCACCACAACTTCGGTAAATATATTCTCATTGGATATTCGTTTGATTTACTTTGTTGGCCTCATTGGCTGTGAAGTACAAACTGTAGGGAAGTGAAGCAGGAGGCATCCTCATTATTACTGTAACACTTTTAGCTTAAAAAAAAAAATTGCCATTCAGTTCCCGGACCTGTTGTGCACCTCTAGTCTTTCGACTGCAACCCACAGAATGAATTTTTTTTAGCAATATTTGCAGCATCAGCAACACACTATTACATTTTATACAATAGTTCCAAAGCTAAATATGTTTCGCTGTCATATTCCATCACAAAGAATGGGTTACATTCATAATATTAAGTGTATCCTGATTTGGTAGGCTACAGACGGGCAGTGAGGATATTGTCAAGCATTCCATGAAACAAAGGTTCATCAGTTACGGCAGCTTAATGTCATTTAAGGATACATACAGTTACAATTACTTAGATGGATGGCTTATCCCATACACAAGAAAAATGGAATTTTAAGATTTTTCTTTTGTCATCGAACATGTGGGACAAACTGGAAAGTCATTGGAGGTGAGAATGTCCAAGCACCGTTATTCGATACGTATAGCACAGGAGTCGAACGCGATTTTCAACCATATTAGAGCCTGTAATAACCCTGCAAATTAGCTGGAAACAAGTCATCTTTCCTTGTTCCTCCTGGCTTGAAAGGAATATTGTAGAATCAGCAATTGTTAAGCATGATAGGCAGTCATTATACAATATCAGTGATGGGCTGTTCAAATTAGATGCGTTTTTAGTTGAGGCAATAGTACACAGTTTAAAATTGGGCTCTTATACGTATACATCAGACTGTCTTAAATGTGCCACACCGAGGAATTAAGGCGTTTTTTCCTGCAGTTTCTAAAGGTTGAACCAGAGTTTGCCTCAGGATTATGTGGGATGAATATCGGTGGCCATCTTGTCATTGCAGATGCCTCCCCTCCCTTTAAACGAGTTTATGTTAATGTGCCCTGTTTCCTTTACATAACTTTTAGAAGTCTCCCCTCTATACGTTAGGGTTTTCTCTCGTCATTTAAAGGACACCTTGTCCTATGGAGGATAAATAATTGCCAGTGACCCCTATGTCGCAGACAGTATTTATATACGTATTTAAAGTTATTGTTGTCATAGCGGAATATGACTGAATTTATTGTTATTGCTACGTTAATTTCGTTTAGTTATTATTGCTACGTTAATTTCGTTTAGTTATTATTGTTACGTTAATTTCGTTTAGGTTACAATATCAATGCTTGTGGGATTTTTTTAATGCTATAATATTCATCCTTCTGGCTGTTGTGCCCGTGGGCACTTCTGGTTCCTTCTCCTCTTCCCCTCTCTCACTCCAGTGAACGCGGTCCCCTGGGAACATATTCGCGTGGAAACCCTCCTATTTTCTGCAATTTTGCAAGCTCCTGATGATGTGTTGATTGCAACACGAAAGGCCTAGAGCTATCATTCTACTCCCCCCGTGGTTGTTTTGCATATATTAGTATATCAGTGCAGAGTCATTATATGGTTGAGAATACATATTGACGCTAGCCTCACTACATCCAGCCTGAACATTATAGCAAACTTCTTGTACTACAACTCACCCACCAAGTGTAAGCAGGCCCAACATTAGTTGGGCAGGGCTAACCTGCATTATATTACGTTAATTTACTAGAGGCCACATATGCACACGTATATACACAATATTACAGATGTACGTGTACACGCGCACACGCACACGCACACACACACACACACACACACACACACACACACACACACACACACACACACACACACACACACACACACACACACACACACACAGGGGCCAGAAGCTTTAAGAAGAGGTATGATAAAGCTCATGGAGCAGGGAGAGAGAGTGAACCTAGTAGCGACCAGTGAAGAGGCGGGGCCAGGAGCTATGAATCGACCCCTGCAACTACAGTCAGGTGAGTATACGTGCACGCACACACAAATATATACACTGCATAGCCACTTTATTAGGCACACTTGTACACCTGCTTGTTAATGCAAATATCTAGTCAACCAATCACGTGGCAGCACTTCATTGCCTAAAAGCATGCAGATATGGTTAGGAGGCTCATTTGTTGTTCAGACCAAACATTGACCGTGGAATGATCGTAGGTGCCAGACGGGGTAGTTTGTGAATCGCAGAAATTACTGATCTAGAATTTTTAAACACAACAGTCTCTGGAGTTTACATAGAATGATATGAAAAATTCAAAAGAGCATCTCTGAGCGTACAACACGTCGAGCATATAAGTGGATGGGTAACCGTACCATAATACCATACTGGGTTCCAGTCATGTCAGCTAAAAACAGGAAACTGATGCTATACTGAGCACAGGTTCACCTAAACTGTAGAACTGAAGATTGGAAAAACGTCGCTTTGCCTGAAGAATCGCGATTTCTGCTGCAACATGCAGATAGTAGGGCCAGAATTTGGCGTAATTTTTTTGGTTGTGGTAGATAGAATGGGGGACTCACAGCATGAATGTGTAGCTGACTAATCTGCAATAACTGCATGATGCTATCATAGACCAGAATCCAGGCCACGAAGAATTCAGTCTGTTTTGGAGGTAAAACTTCATTAGGTACATCCTTCTAGTATGGAGCCCTTCCCAGTACTAGAAGGGTGTACGTGTATATATATAAAACAACACTGCGTTAGCGCAGTGTATATATACATGTATATATACATACACATACATACATTTGTACATTTGTTCCGTCCCTTTACCCCAGTTCTTAAAAGATGGTGCCCTCTAAGGACGGTGCCATTAGGGAATGCTGCCACTAAATTCCAAAGTCTCTCCAAGACAGAATATTCATCTTGATATTTGTAGACATTCGGGTAAATTCATTGTCACATTAGAATAAATTACTAAGTCCTGCTCAAGTATTTTGTCACTGATGTTTCTTGGGCACTAAGTTCACATTCATTGCATAGTTGCCTTTGAAAGCTTCATAACTTAGGCAGTAGCTAGCGTTAAGTAAGCGTTCAGCAGGTATCCAACTTTTGTGTGACAACGATAAGTGTGACAATTTCTGCTGTTGTATATTGTGTTGTCTTGTGTAATTTTATTGTAAGATGTTTATTCTGAAATTTACGAACTGGTTAGCTATTTTTTTTACGTGCATTCATTAATAAGGTTAATATATTTTTATTCTTGGTTGGGAGTAGAGCTCGTGGTCGTCTACCTGGCCCTGCCACAAGTCTTGTGGGCGGACAACATCAGTCTGTGCTGTCAGGGGGCAACTTTTTATCCCTTGCTCCCTCCCTCTCTTGGACTCCTGCGTCAGCCTTCCTCGAGTGCAGACGCCTTGCTCGGCCCCTGCCTTGGCATCAGCCAAGAATTTCCCTTGTTTTCTTGCCGGGACGCTCGTCATCACAGGTTTGGGAAAGCCTGTTGTTATTGACTCTTGGAGTGGTCTGAGTCTGCTGGAGTTTTAAAAACTCGTTCCACCTGACCTAACTGGGAACAATTTGTTTCCAATTCGGTCAGGTGGAACAATTTGTTCCCAGTTAGGTGAAGCTTCTTTCCTTTCCATTGCCCGCCCAGATTTTGGAAAATTCTTCACTAGAATTCTGGGAGCAGAGTTCAGATAGCATATACCTTCGTAGCCCTTAAAAAGAAACAACCTTACCTCCCTCCCTCCCTCCATTTCTCCATCCCTCCCTCATTTTCTTCCTCTCTCCATCGTCCTCCTCCCCTCCGTAGTTGAACACAACTTGTGTTCAAGCTTTATCCACACCTACACATCTTTCTGGGTTTTTTTTCCTTCACATCTGAACTATTATTCATTCTGCTCACTTGTACACTTCTCTCCAGTCTTCATCAACATTTTTACCACAGTCTTCTTAATTTCATATTCATCGACAATGAGTATTTTTCTTTTAATGTTCCCTACCCTAATAAGAAGGACACTCCACATTCACCATTCTCGCGCGCAGGCACACACACACACGCGCACACGATCATTGAAATAGGTAGATTCATTTCAGAGGTCTAGAGCTTGCCGTAATGACTCCGCTCTGAGGGTGAACTCCGCTGCAAAATAACTCTAGCATATTATATGAAATTGACAAACAAGTTAAAAAATCTAGTTAGGGTTTAACATCAGATGCTCGATTTCAAATCTGAAGCCTTTGATGTATATCTTCAGTTTCTGCTGTATTTGTTGAGCTGAAGTATTCATTGCTTGATGTATTTGTTCTCTTACTAATGTTTGTTCAGTTCCTGTTGCACATGTTCATTTTATAATGTAATTGCTCAGTTTACGATTTGTGTGCAGTTTCTGATGTATATGTAAATTATCGGGTGTATTTTATCAGTTCCTGAGATATATATATATATATATATATATATATATATATATATATATAATATATATATATATATATATATATATATATATATATATGGAGAGATATATTGTGTATTTTTATACATATATACTTCTAAACTGTTGTATTCTGGGCACTTCTGCAAAAACAGTGATTATGTGTGAGTGAGGTGAAAGTGTTGGATGATGAAAATATTTTCTTTTTGGGGATTTTCTCTCTTTTTTGGGTCACCCTGCCTCGGTGGGAAACGGCCGACTTGTTGAAAAAATATATAGATATAT